TGAATATGCCATCTGTTTCCTGCTGGGGCCCCTGACCCATACAGGGACTGGGTCTGATTTACTCACCAACGTATACTTGGCAGCTAGCAGAGTGCTGGCACACGGCAGGCGCTCAATAAATATTTGTTGAATAAATGAATACAAAACAACTCAGAATAAAAAAATTCAAAATGTCTTCCTCTTCCATATTTTTTTTTGTTTCCAAAAAATCTTGTATCAAACTCTGGTATAGAAAACAGACACTCAGGGTTGTTGGGACTGTGGGTGTGTCAGGAAGACGCACTAGCACAGCTCCCATTTAAATGGCAACTCTAGAAACTCAGCCCATTAGAGATGTAGTTTGGGGGGTGCCATAAGGGAGATGTGGCACCTTATGCAGCTTCTGCAATTGAGGTGCACGCGACCAGGCGCTGGGCTGAGAGCAAATGATATTTGCTTCTCCATGTTCCCAGGAGGACTTTGGGTTCAGCTGCTGGATGGCAATGAGGGTGGAGGGGTGGAGTGGGGGTTGGCACGTCTGTGGACCCATGAAGAGGGTCTAAAATTTTCCTTTTGTAGCAGTTCTGAGTCTCAGAGGAAACCTGGAGTAAAAAAATATCCTCCAATCTGATGTGTTCCATCCAATATTGCCAGATAAAGGTGTGTCACCCAGATGTCCCTACTACAAAGTCCGCCCCACCCCCATAAACAGCTTTAGAGGGCAGAAGTGACCTTCCTGGGCAGCCCTAATCATGAGCAGAAAGAGAGACACAAAGGACAATCTCAGGTGACAGCCCCAACTTCTACTGTCAGTGTACTCAAGGATGAGTAGCTTTGGGATGTGTCAAGGAGAGCTTTATGAGAACCTGGGGCCAGACTGGAATTCCTCTCCCTGCAGAGGGGCCCCAGCTTGAAACAGATCTAAGGACAAGGGCTTGGCGGGGCACCTTTCTGGAGCTGATAATGATCTGAACAGAAAGCTTTCATTGTTGTATTCTCCCCATTGTCTTCCTAATTCAGGGCCCAAAGCTGGGCCTGTATCCCATCCACAGACTCAAAGAGCAAATTAACTGCTCTAAACTGTGGCAAGTGGGAATTGTCTGAGAAGTTAATTGATACAAGGGGGAGGGGGAACCCGTGAAGGGCTGGCTGAGGCCTGGGAGCAGTCAGCTTTCTCACGTGGGGAGGCCCGGCTCCATTAGCATCAATAGGTGGTACGTGGGTATAATTAGGCCACAGATTCTGGTAGCTTCTTTTAGCTCAGACAAGTTTGGAAAATGAGATTCAGGAAGAAACGGTTTGTCTTTTCTGGCTGCAAGCATTCCCGAAGATCCAAGGCACAGAATTCCCCAGGTGTGGGTGTCAGCAGGTGCCAGGACCACTGACATCTACAGAACCCCCAGTCCTCCTGCTCCTCAGTTGGTTCCTGTCCTTTCCTTCGATCGCTGTCTATTATGATGATATCTAAATTCCATTCAATCTTTCTTCTCCCTAGTAAGTGAGCAATGGGCTGAGACAGAATTTAAAGGAAGGTGGCAGGAGGTCGTATCTCTGGGGCACCTAATAATAAGAGTAATAACAACTCAAATATTGAGGTTGCCTCATGCCCTGCATGCAGCTAAGTGCTTTCTGCATATTACCTCATGCTTCACATGGCCCCAGGTGGCAGACATTTACATTTAATCCAAGGAAGCTGAGGGACTGAGAGATTGAAGTCATTTCCCTGAGATCACATGGCTAGAGAGGGTGGGTATTCAACCAGGTCTGTTTGATCCTTCAACATTATAAACACCAATATGCACTGCAGCTGAGGTCAGATCAAAGTAAAAAGGATTCTTTCAGCTGCAGACATGGCTTCTGAAATGTCCAGTCAGGCAAGCCCTTCACATGACATCATGCCCTCCTCAGATTTGGTTCTACATGGCTTCGATGGGGGCTGGTGGTTTCCAGTGGAATTCCCTGTGTCTAGACCAGGCACCACTGGCTTATGGGGTTGGAAAATTCTTTGCTAGGAGGGAAGGTGCTGTCCTGTGCATTGTAGGATGTTTAGCAGCACCCCAACTTCTACCAACTAGAAGTCAGTAGCACCTACACCCCAAGTTGTGACAACCCAAAATGTCTTAAAACATTGCCAAATGTCCCCTGGGTACAAAATCCCCACCCCTCCCCCACCCCCACCCACCACTGCTGAGAACCACTCATCTAGATCACCGGGCAGTGTTTGCAAATAGGTGCACATCTCAGGTAAAGGGAATTTCCCACCTGATCTTTTTACCTAAGACCCAGTAGCCAAACATAAAGAAAGAAATAAAAAGGATGAGTTATTCTAGGCTGTTCTCATCTCTCCTCTCCCTTCCTGCTCTGAGCTCAATTGGCTGCCAAGGAAAAGATGCAAGTAAAACCTGAACCGGACTTCTCTGCCTTTTAAACCCAGCACTTGTGATTTGAAAAGCAGCCATCAGGAAATCCGCTCCTGGTGGGATGAGAAACCCTGGCAAGATGCAGACCACTAGCTGCTAGGCACTGTGGAACCATTGCCAGGGATACTCCCACAAGCACATCAGAAGCGGAAGCAAGTCCCCACAGGTGTCCTGGGACTGGTAACACCCTCACGGACGGACGCAGATCTGACTGGCAAGGAGGACTGACTCCAACAAACAAGAATCCCTTGGACTTTGCACAGCTGAGTCAAGGGTTTGTTCCAAAGAAAGGCCCAGAGAACAGAAATGCATGGAGGGCAGTTTCTACTCCTTTGTTCAAGGAGCAAAATGAACTCGTTTCTGCCTCCACTCCTTGTGCACGGTAAAAATCAGAGAAAAAAGGACACAGGAGCTGGATAATCTGCACGCTGCAAACCAAACCCTTGGGTAGCCAGAGTTGAGAAAGGCTATTTTCTGCAACAGAGAGAAAGAATGGGGGAAATATGCCCACTTCAGCTAAGTGGATGGGGAATTCAGCATGGCATTTTTAAGCTGTTAGTTGTTACAGCAAAGAAAACACTAGGCTTTCTTTTAGTAATTTTGTGTTGGAAGACAAAGACTTTATCTTCTAGACAGTGCCCCCCGCCTGATTTGTGACAGCTGCCTCCCAGAAACATGTCATGGTCTGGTTTTGATTTGGGAAGGGCAGGCTGGAGGAGACGCCTGGGAGAACGGGGTTAGGATCAGTTTCACCCCCCCCCCCGCCCCGCCTTCCCGTGCTCAAGGTGTTGCTGGTAAAACAATTGAAGCGGGCTGGTGAAAATTATTCTAGGTTAAATAAACAACACGCCAAACAACCTCAAATTCTTACGCAACTTTGGTTTCATGGTCTTTTGATTTTCACATTGATTTAGAACTGAAACATACCCTACATGAAGATTACAGTGTGTCATCCATTGTCCACTTTTTCTGCTGCATTCAATGACAATACCAAAACCACTTGGCAAGTGTTACCTGCTTTCATATTTAATCTATACTATGTAATTAAGGAATAAACCATCCATATGTTTCAGAGAGTGTGCTCTTAGCTCATTAAGATGCTATTTACTGTACCAAGAGTTATTTGATGGCAAGGACATCGTCAGCTTTTCATAAGAAGCCTAATGTAATTTTCCTTTTGTCCAAACAGGAGTTTGAACTCAGGGCTCAGAGGGATGCAAAAGGGCCCTGGAGGAGAGAAGAAGGTTCAGACGATAGACGAGATGGTAAGTACAGGTGATCGCTCAGGTAATAAGGTGAGGAGCCTGGCTTTCTCTAGCTCAGTAGTTCTCAAACTTAGTGGGTCTAAGGGTTCTTGGGGTGGGGGGCACTTGTTAGAAATTCCGATTCCCAGGTATGAGCCCTGAGAAAGTCTGTCTGTGAGTCTGGGATGGGGCCCAAGAATCTGCATTGTTGACAAGCATCCCAGGTGAATATAATGTAGGTGATCCCTGGATTACTCTAACTGAGGGAGTGGACAGTTGGCTGTTTACATGGAGAAATACACTCCTAAAAGCTGGCTACAGGTAGCTTGTACTAGGAAGTGGGGATTTAATCACATTAATTTTCCAGTCCTCCGGGAGATACTTGGCGTATGGGTTGAAGAAGGGTGGTTAACAGTTGGCACAGAATCGCTGACAGGCCTCACCCGCCACCAAGACACTTTGTGGAGGAGATGCTAGGGAGGCTTTTCCAAGTGGGTAAGTTGAGAAGGTCAAGGGCCTGAGAGCCACTGAGTCAAAATACTTAGAAGGTTTGATTATGTTTATAAGGAAAGCAAGGGTAAAAACTCTTTTGTGGATGTAAATAAAAGGAAATCAAGGTTTAAACACAAACCAGTTTGGAAACTGCCTAAACGTCTAATTCAAGAGATGTGGTAACATCCATTCAACTGAATATTAATGCAGTCATTAAAAATGATGGTTACAAAGCTATGGAAATAAGCTAATAGAGCGCAAATGAAGAAATCCAGGGCCCACAATATTCAGTATGTTCACAATGCAGAAAAAAATAACTCACTGGTATATAGGAAAAAAACCTTGAAAATTCATCAAAATATGAACACTAGTCAAGTGGTGAGAGTTTGGATATTTTTTTCTTTACTTTTATCTTTTTTCTTGATTTTTCTCTTCTACATTTTCCTAACTTACCATACTAAACAAACAACAAAAAACAAACCATAAAAACCTGTTTCAAAGTCATTTTCAAGTGGTCAAGAGCTATCTCATTTCCTTTTGTGAGAGTCCCAAATCCAGAGGTTCTAAGAGGAATGTACACACACATTCTTTAAAAATCCACCAGTCCGAAGAGCTTGTCACCCACCAGCCTCCACCCTGGGCCCATTATTCTAGGGTTGCCTTTTCAGGAATAAAATGAATAAAATCAGCAATCTTTTCTCTCCCGTCAGCAACCATGGTTACTTACTCCGGGCACAGATGACTGCTCATGCCCAAGGAGGTTATAAATAAGACTCCTGAATGGTTATTAAAAACCAGGACACTGGAAAAACTCCCCTGGACCCAGAGAATGTCAGTGAGGCCGTGACATGTAGCAGGAACTCACCAGCCTCTATGGGTTGGGCTCTGTACCGTCTGTCCACTGTTCTCCGTCTCTCCCACCTGGCTCTGGGAATGTCCTCTGCTTCCGCACATACCAGGAAATGAACGCAGAAATAGAAATAAGGGGCAAACAGGACTTTTACTCCGCTGGTTTTCATCTGGCCCCTGGTATGGGAGCCTAGTTCAGAGCCATGAAATGCCCCCAGGAGGGCACGGCTTCCTTGGAGAGTACAGAGGAAGTCACCACGGGACAGTCAGAAGGTTTTCCTGAATCACCTCCCCAGCACTGAGGGGTTCAGATCTATCCAGCATGCACCTCCAAAGTATCTCCTTGCTGGCCTGAGACCCCCACATTAATCACCACAGCAACAGGCCTCAAAGACCAGGGCTTTGACTCCAGAAAACCAAGGCTAACACATATAACGGACGTTTGGAGCCAAGTTCACAGGGCGGGGCTTCTGGAGGGAGGAGCCAGGTCAGGGGAGTCAGTCCAGATGGGGGGATCCCTGTGGCTCAGCAGTAGACACCTGCGGTTTTTACCTCCTTGCAACACACACAATCCTTCTTCCTTTGAAGACACTACCTTGATTTTCCTGTGAGAAGCCCTCCATCTCCATTCTCAGCCCCTGAGTTTTTTTGGTCTTGACCCCACTACCTGGTTCCCAGGATGGGCATGTGACTCAGCCCTGGCCAATCAGAGCCATCGTCTGCCCTGGCCACAGGAGTTATTGTTTAACAATTATCAGGCGACCCAAGTCAGGCAAATTACAACTTAATTCTGGGGCTTTGGGGGACACTATTAAGAGAGCAGTTCCTAGTCCCCTTCCTGATGCTCAGGAATGTTGTTAGCCTGAAGCTGGGGTAGCCATTTCTGCTGCCCCTGGGAAGAGCCTGCCTAGAGTGAAGTCGTTATGGAGGAAACAAGAACTGAGAGAAGGAAAGAAGCCGAGGGCTGATACCATCAGCCCGATGACAACGGCATCCAGCTGTGCTTGGAACCAACAATCTGTGAACTTTGTAGTTACGTGACTTCAGAAATATTTTGTTTGTTTACACCAGTTGAAGCTGGAATTCTGACACTTGCAAACAAGAGTTCTGTAATTCAGTGAACAGAGACAATCGCTATGCATTCCCCACATAGATTCCAGGCCGGCCTGGGGCCAGCACACAGGACTCAGGTAAATTCGAGGTTCTCAAATCTGTAAAACCAGGCTGGGCCGCACATCTTCCCCAGAGGAGGGAATGAACAGAAAGATCGGGGCCGTGCAATAAATGAGCACGTCTGAGGTGCAGCCACTCAAGTACTTACTGGGTGCCAGCTGGTTAGGAAGTTTTACCCAACAATTTTAATAAAGACACTGGGTTAGAGGATGGCTACCCAAGTTATGCAGAAGAATAGGAGAAATGTCCCTGCTCCAAATTAAATATAGAAATGTTTTGCATTACAGGGAGTAAAAAGCATTTCAGGCATTCTTGGTAAAGTGAGCTATTCCAGTTGTTTCAGATCCCTACACTGCTGTTTCCACATTCTTTTCCAGCTTCCAGCAACGCTGAGAAATTTCCCCAGTCCCCCTCAGCAATCAGTAAGTCTCGGTGTTGCACAACCAAGTTTCCCTTGTCAAGGTGTGTAGGTGATGCGTGTTGAAGGTGTGGACATGCCACAACAATGCAACACTGATCAAAGCCGGCAGGAGGCCCTTTCCCAGTTCTGTTCCTGCTGCGTCTGCATACCCAGGGCACTGACATGCACACTTTCTGCTGATGCTGGCCTGGGTCAAAAAATCACAGAGTAGGCAAACTTTTATCCACTTCTGTTTTCAAATCGATCCTCTTGGGTCTCCCAGAACCCTTCTCCCAGGGGCCCTGTAAACCTCTGCCATTTTCCTCTCCTAAGTCACCATCATCCTCTTATTTCAGTCTTTGTTTTCACCTTGGGTGCTGCCATCTTCATCTCTTTCCTGAGCTTCACTGTCTTGGATTGCCTCCTAATGGAGCTCCCTGCCTCAGGACTTGCCCTCTTCCAACCAATTCCTCACACAGCTGCTGGAACCATCTTTTCAAAATGCAAATCTAATCATGTTACGTCCCCTCCCTGCATGGCCTGCAACTTCCAAGAGCTTTCCATTATCCTTAGTGGAAAGGCCCAAATGCTTCAAATATCCTAAACGCCTCTGCACCATCTAACCCTTGCCTTCCTTGCCTGCTCTCTGTGCTTCACCCAGCCAGCGGGCCTTTTTTTAGTTCTTCATGCTTGCCATACATTCCTACCACAGGACCTTTGCACGTGCTGCTCTTGTCTGGAATATGCCTTCTATTCTCCATTAAGCATCACTTTTTCAAGGTACTATCTCTGACCTCCCTGACTCGGCCATATCCCTCTTTGTGTACCCTCCTAGCCCCACATTTACCACAGATACAATTTTATATTGTACAATTAGATTGTTACTATATTAAACTTCATTGGACTGTGAAGTGCAGAAGGGCAAGGCCCATGTCCTCTTTGGCTCAGCATTGCATCCCCAGCACCTTGCACAGGCCGTGGCACCTACTAATGGTAATAACAGCTAATATTAATTGAGCACTTATAAGGTATTAAGCACTGTCCCAAATTCCTTATAGGAATTAACTCATTTAATTCCCACAACAACCCTACAAGTCACTGTTGTCATTCCATTTCAAAGACGAGGACACTGAGGCACAGAATTGATAAGCCAGTTGCCCAAGGTTACATAGGAATTAAACTACAAGGTCCAGTGTCCAACTCTGGCAGGCTGGTGTGCAGCTGCACTCTCATTCTGCTGTAACTCACAGGGTAAGTGCTCCAGTCACATTTGCTGAATGAATGAACGAGCGAACAGAAACCATCTTTCCCTTCCCTTACTCCCATCCACACCTGCACTCCCTTCTCACAGGTGCCAGCTCTCGCTGACCCACCTACTCCATACAGAAACTGGCTGGTCCTCGAGGAGGAGCTGTATTCCCAGCCTCATCAATCCACACAGGGCCCTTCTCCAGGGACCAGCTGACAGTCTCCAGCTGTCCTGTGGTGTGGCCTCTGCTGCAGCAGCAGGTCCCAATTCCAGCTCTACTCTGCACCTGGCTCCAGTGTGTGACCTGAACCCTGACCCTAACTTGCACTACAGCCTTAGTCTTCTCTCCATTGGTGCCTGCTGCCTGGGAAGCAACCCCGGGACAGCTGTACTTGTCTCCTGTGTCTTTCCTGCCTTTGACCTGGCTACATCGTCTCGGGATGCCAGCTTTGCCTCCTGCCATTCAGCTCTCATTTGACACGTGTGCACTCAGCTTCTCACTAGCCCTGCCAGCACTGTACTGACATAACCACCACCTGGCTGCACAGGAAAAGGACTCCTTGTCCCTTCAGATAGTCACGATGCAAATCTCCTGACTGATCTCCACCCTTCTGAGGATGCACCAGAGAGGTCAGGAGCAGGGGCCCTGTAGGCTTCCACACCTCGCTCAGGTCCTGCTGTCAGTGGTGACTGTGGGGAGGTCACAACCCTATGAACTTTAGTGTACTCATCTGTAAAATGGGTACAATAATCAGACTTATCTCACAGGGTTATTGTGTTTAAAGTGATGTAATATGTGACATTATTAGCATGGCAGGTCACAGTCAGTGGTCTATTATGATTATTGTCAGTTATTCCCATCACCCACACCTGCTATGGTACAGTGGTTAAGGGCATGAGCTCTGGACCGAGGATGCCCACGTTTAAATCCTGCTCCTCCACTTCCCAGCTGTGTGACCTCTCCGTGTCTCACTTATGTCACTTGTAAAGTGGGAATAACAACTCTATCTGCCTTGCAGGGATGTTGTAAGTTGGTTCACATAAAGTGCTCAGAATTATACCTAGTACATGATAAACACCCAATAGTATCAGCTATTGTCGATGTTGTTACTATTTCAAATACTGTGATCACCCAGTCTGCAAAATGCTTTAGACTTGTGTTTAGGGACTGGCAGGATGAAGAGCTTCTGCGAGGCTCTCCACAATAGTAAGTGGTGACTGCCCGCCTGACTCACTCTCTGTGAGCATAAGGGATGAACTGTATTTTCCAAGAAGAAACAGGACACTCCCAGTTCTAAGCAAATTGGGAAGTGCCACAGCCCAGATCGGAGGCTGGCAAGCCAGTGGGATGATCTGCTTTTCGGATCTGTTCTAAGGAAAAATGCTGCCCACAGAAAGCTCATGCTTGTGCCAGAGTCAACACTACAGGCGTATTCAATAAGATAACTATTGACCATGAGAGAAAAAAAGTCATTATCACCTAAGGATCAAAGTGTTCTGACTAAGTCTTTTGTGACACGTCCCTGTTACTCACAGATCAGGGTTCTAGGATTTAAAGACACACAGACAGTTCAGAACGCTGCCTTCTCAAAAGATGACTGAATTTTCTAGCAAAATGCAAATGCAACGGTGAGAGTCGGCAGCAAAAAAGACCAACTTCCCAAGTCTAGTCAATACCACGTCCTTGGTGTAGGCTGTTTGTGTGCTGCATAGGATGTGAAAGTCTATTTATTTAGGGTCTGTTCTAGTGACAAATGATGATACAAATGCTTTGACTATTAGCTACAATCTTTCTTCCACACTGTTGTGTCTGACAGATCCATGGAAACATAGAAGCATAAAATGGATTTCTTTAGCTGCCTGTTTCTTATCCTGTTCTCATGCTGCTTAGGAAAAAGAGGAGCCCAGGGGAACATTTTCAAACCTAAAAATAAATGCAAACCTGCACAGCTGGTGGACGCTGGGAGATGTCAGTAGCTAAAACATTCCTAGAGGCACCAGTATGTTTGAAATAAGAGAGAAATAATAATAAAAAACGTCAGGTAATCATATAATGACCCTCTATAAGAGGGTCATATGTGTCACGAAGTATATTAACGAGTTTAAATACATTATCATTTAATTCTCTACAAAAACCCTACAAAGGATGTACTATTAGTCACCAAATCCCATAGATAAGGAAACGGAGCTTTACAGAAGTGACTTGTTCAGGGTCACACAGTTCCTACATGATAAAGGCTGGATTTGAACCCAGAAAGTGACGCCAGAATTGGCACTTCAAACCATTAATTTTTATATTGAGAATCTGAAAAACCAGTGTTCCCGTGAGAACATCCAAAAAGACTAATGATGGGGTTAAAATTGTGCCCAACCGAACAGCTCACGCACGTCATCTCTCCTCTCCAATAGAGTAGCTGCCAGCTACACTTGGCCGTTGAAATTTAAACTGATTTAAAATAAATGAAATTTAACATTCAGTTCATTGCTGTTGAGCAGTTAAAGTGTGGCTAGTGCAGCTGATGACCTGAAATTTTAATTTCATTTAACTTCCACTAATTCAAATTTCAATATAGATGCATGGCTGAGGCGACCATACTGGGCAGAGCTGCTCTGAGGAATTTCTCTCAGCTGTAACAGGCTTGGTTCAGGGATGCTTCCAAAGATCTCAGAGGCAGAGGGCCATGAGCTGCAGCAATGCCGAAGTGCTCTGTCCAAGCAGCCACGGAAAACCAAGGGGATAAAGTTCCGCCTCTTCCTTAGGATCAGAGACTGTCTGTTCTTCAAATGTACCCGTGTGGCCTTTCCAATATTCCCCAACTCCCAGATCTCCTCAACTCCTCATAAGTCGCCATGTGAGGACAATCAAAGCAGAACAGACAAAACCCAGGGCCAACTGTTCTCAGACAACACTTGCACCAGCGTCAGTAGGGAGCTGGTTAAAATGCAGGTTTCTGGGCCCTGCCTCTATATGGTCTGATGCTGGGGGGATGGGGCGGGGGACAGGAGAGGCTGGAGTCCATGTTTTAATCAAGCAGCCAATGATTCTAATGCAGGTGGTCTAGCTTTAAGAAACTGCTTCCGAGGCTGAATTACTTATTTATCTCCTGGCCTTTGAAACAATTATAGCACATAAATCTTTCCAGAATAGCACAACCTGGGCTGGAAGCCAGGCAGTCATCACTCTGCACTAATTGCTCACTTCTGTGACATTAGGCAAGGTGCTTAGTCACCAAGGCCTCATTTTTTTTTTTGTTTTTTCTATCTGAAACATGGGGGTAAGGATATCTGCCATTTGTCCTCTAGGACAAATGAGAACACAGATGTGAAAGCATTTGAGGGGGAGAAAAGCTAAAAACACACTGTATCCTGCAACTCAGAGACATGTTTTGCTCGTTAGCAGAGAGTTTAAATAGATTTCACATTTTAAAAAAGTCCACATTTTTAACTTCTCTGAGATAAGTGGAAGATCTGACAGGATGGGACTCATACCAGATTGGCAACCTGGTGTGATGAAGAGCATGGCTCTGGAGTCCATATGCACAGGTTCCCATTCCTGCTCCTCCTCCTAAAAGCTGGGTCAAGTCCTTCAGCCTCTCGGAGCTCCAGTTTCTTCAACTCTGAAATGAGGATTTTCACAGCCTATCTCTTTCATAGGGTTGTGATGATTTAATTATGTGAGTTAATATTTATAAAGTGCTTAGAACAATGTTTGGCACATAGTAAGAGCTGCATAACTGTTAGTCGAATAAATAAATATCCCGGCACGTGGCAACGAGCAGCTGGAGCTAAGCAATGGCTGCCCCCTGAGGTGGGACTGACATGTGCCAGTTTATCAGTCTCCACCCAGACACATCTGACAATGGGGTCCCTCCTCGGGGTCTTGCTCATAAGGGGCACATTCACTTAGTGCATCTTACAAGGACTTCTCAAGCTATCCATGGTGAAAGACCAGTTTTTCATTTCCAATCCGTTGTGGACTGAGGTGTGACCTTCCTGCACATGCTACATACAACTCAACCATGGGTTCTACAACATCCTCCCGGGTCTGTACCTGGGCCGATAAATGAGCCCACTGAACATGCCCTTGGATGTTGCAGCAAAGCCAAATTGCTCCAAGGGTTTATAAATGTTGTCATTTCAGTACTTATCTCGCTGCGGACTGCGACCAGCCCCGATCCTCAGACGACACTTTGCGCAGTGCCTTCTTAGAGATCATCTACATTAGGCTTCATGTGCAGAAAAACCAACGGGATAATCTGACCACAGAGGGCATATAACGGATTCATTCACTCTCCACCCCCCTCCGCCCCCGACTTCAGCCCTGTCCAGACTGCTTGCCTTCTCCTTCTCTATCCACATTTCTTTTGTCTCTATCTGCACATTAAAACCAGCTCCCTAATGAGACACTGGGATTCAGAACAGCCTTGGAGTTGTTGTGGATGCTCTGGTGTCCCTGGGAGCTCCAGGTTTTGTGACTACTGTCTCCAGCTCATAGCTGGCCCTTCTCCTGAATATTGCTTTGGCCAACAGGAGCTGCCTTGCCCGGTGCCCACATCCACAATCTCGTCCCTGAGCTGCTCTCCAGTGGCCCAAGCCAATGACTGGCTGACATGGTGGTACACAGCGTCAGCCCCTTTGTCTCAAGAGGGAACCAACTGTATGGTGCAACATCCTCCAGAGCCCCCTGTGGGGTCGGGCTGAAGCTGGACTCAGGTCCAGACATCATCCTTCGCTTGGTTCCTCCCCCTGCCCTGCCCAGTTTCTCTCCCTCTCCCTCCCTGGAAGCACCCCTAACACGTCACAGGCATCTTAATCTCTGCCTCAGGCTCTACTTATAGGGAATCCGATCAAAGACAGAAGCCATCTGTAACCTGGGTTCACCTTCTCTAATGACCTGTTGGAGGAGGGCACACGGCAGGAACAACACTAAAATCTGAAGACCGGCACCAGGTCACCCGGAAGTCATCCTCTGCTTTCTGATTGCCAGGTGAACAGAACCTACCTGTCGCATTAGACAGGGCCAGCGATTCCATGGAGCCTCGAGGGGTCTGCTCTGTGGGTGTCATGTCCTCAGTGTATTTCAGAGAGCTGATTGGATGACGGGTCCGACACTGCTGAGTGGATATGCCCCCTTCCTCCTCCTCCTCCTCCTCATATTTGGGGACTTGGATGCTGCCTCGGGTTTCACTAAAGCTCTGACTGGACATGTCGCTGTAGCTCTCCTGGGACCTCAGCCTTCCAGGGTAGTAGTCCTCTCGGCATTCCTTGATGAAGCTGCCGCCGTGTCCCTTCATGGCCAGTGACGAGCTCCTTTTGGGGTTGCTGAAGTGCTTGGCCCACATGTCAGGCTGGGCCCCAGCCCCTTGCCCTCCCGGACTGTAGGAAGTTCTGATGTTGCACTGGCTGAGGAGCTGCAAAGGACTCTGGGACTGGTTCTGCTCCATCTTGTTCCCGTAATGGTAGGGCTCGTCCCGGCTCCTCCAAATGGGGTCCCGGTTGAGGCTGGGTGTCTGGCTGGATAGGCTGAGCAGGTCCATCTGCAGTGACAGGGGATCCACGTCGGCTGACAGCCGGTTGGAGCTCACCTGCAGCTGGCTGTGCTGGTTCAGCATGGGCTCTTCCGTCTTGCCCTTGTTCTTGCCGATTTTGGCGCTACGCCGGGACTCCTTGGCCCTGGCGTTCTGGAAGGCCGAATCGGATGAGTCCGAGCCATTGGGGTCCTCCCCAGCACTGCAGGCCCGGGAGCAGAATATCTGGCCCTGTTTTGGGAGGAATGGCCGTCCAAGGAGGGATTTCTTGCAGTGAGCACAACAGAAACAGGTCTCAGTGGCATGCCAGTGCTGGCCGTCATAGGTCATTTGGCCTTGGTCGATCCCTGGGGACCAAGAAGAGACATGGAAGAGGCTGATGAGCTGCTCAGAGTATTGCATTACAATTTGAGACATACCCGGGTGGGGCTCAGCGTTCCAGGTGCAGCAGGGAATAAAATGTCATTAAATCAACGATCAGGCCCCCACATAAATGGTATTCACGACCTACTGTGCGAGCCCCTTGGTTCTTCTGGTCAGCTCCTCCTTAACTCATCACTCTGACTGCAGAGAAACTACATCAAAATGACCTGTCCCTAGATCCTTCTGCCTGGGACACATTCCTCCAGACAAATCGCAATAATGACACTGACGTATAATAAAGCACTTCCTTAAATGCTTTGCATATATGTATACTCGTTTAACCCCTCCATTGTATGACTGTATGAGGTAGGTTTCTATTATTTCCATTTTTCAGATGAGAAAACAGAGGCACAAGAGGTTAAGTAACTTGCCTAACGTAAAACAGCCAGGAATCATAAGGTGAGATCTGTGCCCAGGAAGTCTGGCTCCTCACTGTGACATTGGCATTGTCTTGTTCACTCTGCTTAGGGGTCTGCTCCAATGCCAACTCCTTGGAGCAGTCTTCCTGTCCTCACTGCTAACACATTCTCCACCCATGCCTGCTGTATTTTTCTTCGTAGCACTAACACCTCTTGACATTGCACCACTACATATGTGCATCTGCTTACTGGTTCCCTCTCCCACTAAAAGGGAAGCTCTTTTAGTGAGGACAGGGCCATCGAGTTTCTTTGATACCTCCAGGAACATGGCCTGGCGCATCACAGGGGCTTTTCATATGTTGGATGGATGGATGAACCGAATCCCGTCACCAGCATATGCCATTCCAAAGGGTAATAACTAGCAGCTCAGTGGCAAAGAAAAAAGTTAGATTTCAGCACTTGGTAAGGAAAAAGTTGGGTGTGGTTTGTCAACTACGTCTCTCCTCCATAAGCATCCATACCTTTTGCTTGACTTCATCAGGAAAGGAAGAAACATATTTCCTCGCCATCCCAGGGCTGTGCCTAGTTGACTTATTCTTGTTACACCTATGTACAGAAGCCTCCCACAGTGCCTGCTGTTCTTGCTTCTCAGCATCTCTTCTGCCCTATTCTAGTTATAGGACTTAATCTCCCCATGGGCCATCATCTCCTTGCTACCCTTGGGCCATGAGCTTTGGGTGGGACTAAAGTCTCTCCTGGACCCAGCACTTTCCAGTAAAAAAAATGGTAACTCTCAGACTAGTGATTGGTTCAGGGGTGGGCACATGACCTGCACCAGGCCAATGGGAGTGTCACCTGGGATTACTGTTAAAACAGTGACACAGGGAGGTTTTCTTTGACAGCAGTTGCTAAACTGGCAGAATGGAAGCCATCCATCCTGTGGGGAGAGCCTGCTGAGATGCAGTCCCAGAAATGACTATGGAGTGGAAGAGAACCTTTGCAAGACTCCTGATATCTGATGATAAAAATCTTTCCAGAAAGGTACTAATCTGAACCTTCACCTTTAGCTGCTGAGAACGCTGAGCCGGGACTTTCCAGGAATAACATCTAGAGAATTGTCTAGAGAGGTGGTGAACAAAAAACTGAGATAAAGAGAGAAGGGCAAGAACAAAAGGCAAAGAGCAGACAGCCTCTCCTGACCCTCTCTGTCCTCTCCCTGACTTCCCTGTATGTCCCTAGAGACCAGGGAGAAAGAGGCACAAGGCAGATTCCTCTCTTAGTAGCTCCTCCCCAAAAGGGTCTCTGTTTATTTAGGCGTCCGGCCCTAGGGACTCTTAGGCGAGTTTTAGAGGGACAGGGGCAACCATAAGGGCCCCCAAGGCGAGCGGGACACTGAATCCACTGCCTTTGGTCACAGCATTCCCAGGTGTGAGAACTGGCTGGGGCAGGGTTGCAGCAGCTGACCCAGAGCTGGGGCTCCATCCACACTTCTTCCCCAGGGTCCTGGGAGGACACAGGGCCAGGCAGCAGAGGGAGGCGGAACTCTCTAGTAGTTAAGAGTGAGGCTTCAGGACTCAGGAAAACGCAGGTTCAAATCCCGGCCCCCTGCCAGTCCATCTGGTTGTGAAGATGATGCAACCCATCAGCTTGGGTTCGAATCCTGGTTCTGCTGCTGTCTGGCTGTTTGACCTTAGGCAAGTGGCTCCACCTCTCTGTTCCTGGGTCTCTTTCCCAATAAAACAGGGATAATAACAGTACTTACTTCATAGAGTTGTTGTGAGGATTAACTGAGTTAATATGCAGAGAGTGCTTAAACCTGTGACTGCTAACTGTTCTGACTGCTCTTCTTCTTGTATTTTTATTAGGTGTTAATGCCTGTCTCCCTCCTTTCTTTGAGAACCACTCCCTGGATGCAGGCCAAAAGAGAACTGAGTCTGGCTTGGCCTTCCCTCCTCTCTCCCATCTCCCTTCTCTTCCAGGGAGCTTGTGCTGGTGACCCAGCTGCCCTGGGTCCTTGCTGAGAGCTCGCACTCAGCACGGCATCAGAGCAGCTGCAACTTTCCCATTCCCCGTCAGAGGTACACAGGAAGTCCAGTTCCTCTGGCCTGTCCTCTACCAGCTGCTTCTCCGTGCTTCTGCAAGGAAACACGCTCAGATATGGCAGCAGGGGCCTGGTTTTGGGGATGGGGGTGGGGGCCTCACAGAAGGCTGCGCCATTGAGGGGAGAGGGGCGGGGGAGGTGTGTTACAAAGCAGCCCAGCAGGCGGTGGAACGTGGTCCCTGATAAACATCAGCGATGTCAGATGGTGTCTGAACTGCTCCTGAACTCTAAACATCTGGAAAAGGGCTCTGCGGGTCCACATCTAAGCGCTCCCTTTTTATTCCCTCTCTAAGCCCTTTAAGCACTGCTCTGAGGGCGTATGTGTCTACTGATGCTAGAGCCTTGGTCTGTTTATAGGACTGTTTGCTGTGCGCAGGCAAAAGTACCGTTGCCCTAGCAACGGCTGCCTGATGCAGGGTCGGCTCTGAGCAGCTATATAAATATGGCATATTTGTATAATATAGTCAGAGTAAAGCATCCAGAGACTGTGGTATGCATGATACACAGAACATATCCTTCCTTTCACTGTCGCAGGAAAATTACGTTTTACAGAAAAGTGGATTTAGGGGAAAAAAATCGGCGACAGCATTTTAACTGCAGCAGCGATAGTACTGCAGACCACAGAGGTCTCCTTTTCTGGTAAAACACTGATGCTTTTTTGTGGATTTAAGAGGGAAGGAGAGGGAATGCCAATCCACATCTCAAATAGCTAAAAGAAGCAAGAAATAGAAGAAAACAGAGGGGCCTTCTGAGGGGTACATGCTGTGGTGACAGGGAGGTTTTCTCCCATGTCACTGAGGGAAAATTCTAAGTGGCAGTTTCTGGAGAGGCTTTGAAGGCTAGTGGAAAGGAGCAGAAGAAACAGAAACACTAATGAGAAGGGGGGATAGTTGCTGTGGGCTTTCTGTACACTCAGTCCTCTCATCCAGGCAAGCGCCACTTGCAGACCTAGAATCCAGGGAGCAATGCCGGGCATTGCTTACCTAAGTCACACCATCTCCCTGATGGGTCCCACTCCCTGCCGTTCCTCAAATGACGAACCACCTGTGCAAATCAAGCTCCCCATATCCTAACTCGTACCAGAAAAGGAAGTTTATCTGTTTGATCGCTTTGACCTTGTGAGCAATGAAAGCTGTTGGATTCTTGGTTGAGGCATCGGGCTGTGAGAGAGTAAGGTTTTTAGGGGTTTTAGGAAAGGGAATTTGTGCATCACTCTAGACCACAGAAAAGAATGCTGCTGGAAAGAGTCAGCACAGCAGTGCTCAGCCCTGGGCCTGGCAGGGGCTTAGCTTGGAAAGGCCTCACGGAAGCAGACTTGAGTCTGCGGGACGGACAGCCCAACAACAAAGAATCACTTTGCTGAGCACACAGTAGGTGCCTTGTCCACAAAGCTGTAATTTTTATCACCACACAAAATCCTTCAAATTACTAGCTAATTTTTCATTTGATTACATCACTTCTGATGAACTAGGGAAACAAAGCTACTTTGTGTTCTCGATAAAATCTTTTAAGTGGGGCAAAATGGGCTCCCAGTCTATCTCCACATCTCCCCATTCACGGTAGGTAAGAAGTTGGCAGATGCTGGGTAGATTTGGAATCACACAAGCCACAGGAAGATCAGGCTGGCTGCTGGGCTCGCAGACAATCATCCACTGCCAACGTTTTTATTTTTTTAAGGGTGGCTCATTCTCAAGGTGCCAGAACAGGCAAGTTGAACGAAGAAACCACAGATGCAGCAAGATCTGGAACAGCACTGCAGGGCTGAACAAACTGGTTACTATTTGCAAAGGGCAAATGATTTTCACCATTTCAGATCTGCCACTTATTTGGGGAGTTTGTAGCTTATGAGCTATTTGAGATTCCTTGCTTTGTATTTGGCTGGGTCAGCTTTTGCTGACTATTTTTTTTTTTTTTTTAAGATATGCTTGCCAGAAGCCATTTGGTTTTCTTGACTTTTCCTTCCTACCAAGAGAAATGCTTTGGTTCCTCCCTCCGATGACCCATGAATTTTTCCAAGGAGGCAGTGGAAGACATCTGTTTGTATTTTCCCTCATATTTTCCTTCTGAGACCTCTCGCCCTTCCCTTGGTGGAGGGGCTGTACATCATATAGCCCCACCTAGGCGGTCGGCCTATGACTCAGGCAGACCAATTAAAATCCCCTATTCTCTTGTTTTCAGGGCAGAACATATGACCAAGCCAGAGCCTATGGGATTCCTATATGGAGGACCTGACTTTGTGTGTGTGTGTGTGTGTGTGTGTGTGTGTGTGTGTGTGTGGTGGTAGTGGCGGGGGGTGGGAGGAGGTTGGGTCATCTTGGCCATCATGTGAAGGTACCTTGTTTCCAAGTGATGCCAACAGGAGGCGAGCTGAGCTGAGATACAGAGGGAAACAAACAGACTCTGTTTGAACCCTTGATCCGGCCCTACCTGACGAGCATCTCCTGGCATTTCTAGTAGTGTGAGCTGATTTTCGCTTTTCCACTTAAGCTAGTATGAGTTGGGTTTCTGTCACTTGCAACCAAAGGGATTCTAACACAGTGGAGACCAGTCACATTCGGACCAAGCTCAGTACCAAGCGTTGCCTCACCTATGTGTTGGGCACAGGTGTCACAATATTCAGCATACAAGGACTCGAAGCAGTGGCAACAGTAGGGCCTTCCCTCCTTCATGATGTAGCGCTGGCCACCCAGCACCGTCTCGCACTCAAAGCAGCAAAAGTGTTTCATGTGCCAGTGCCGCCCCTCAGCTTCAGTGCATTCGTCTGCGAAGATGATCTGGAGATGGGGAAGCCAGAGGACCAGTGGTTAGGACCCAGCCATGGGAACGCACTTTAAAGTAAGAATGCTATGGGGGCCCCAAGCTAGCAGGGTAGGAAAACAGGTCCCGCCCACACATTATTAACAACCTACATGTATATGTTTCTTCTACACCTACATCAGCTCCCACATTTTGATTGGCTTAAAGTACAATTACACATGGTTTCTAGCCTTGCCAGCGATTAATTTACCACACTTTGATACAAGAAAGAACGTTCTACCCTGAAGAATATGAAGCAGGGCCAAAAGCTGACAGCTCATGGGCATGTTGAATATACATATCTGTTTTATTTGGCCTGCACGCCATATTGATAAAATAGGAAGTGTCTCATAAACACCTGGAATCCTGGTTTCTCTTGAATATACAATATTTGGCAATACTCGGTGTACCTTCCTTCATGGCGACAGTGGCTAGAGCTGGGCAGAGGCTGCTGCTTTCAGCTGAGTGGCGAGTCCTTTAGTTTCATCATACTCCTCACTATTCACTGTTGCCTTAAAATGAGGCAACTTCATTTGCAATATCTGCTAGCCCTCAGAAGCATTTGTGTTCTGACCTCTAATATAGAGTTTTTAAAATTTCAAAGCACAGATTTAAAAGCTTACTACAAACTAGTCATCAAGGCAGTGTGATACTGGTATAAGGACAGACACTCGTAGATCAACAGAATTGAAATATGGACTAAACCCAAACATTTAGGGCCAACTGATTATCAACAAGGATGCCAAGGACATTCAATAGGGGAAAGTCTCTTCAACAAATAGGGCTGCGACAACTGGGTAACCACATGGAAATGAATGAATCTGAACCCCTGTCTCATACCATACACTAAAGTGAACTCAAAGGGGATTGAAGACCTAAAGAGACAAAAAACTATAAAATGCTTGGAAGAAAACACAGGTGTAATTTTCATGACCTTGGATGAGGCCATGATTTCTTAGATATGAAACTAAAAGAGTAAGCAATAAAATAAAAATAAATTGGACTTTATCCAAGTTAAAAACTTGTGTGCTTCAAAGGACATCAAGAAAATGAAACTACAACCACAGAATGGGAGAAAATACCTGCAAATCATGTACTTGATAAGGAAGTACTACCCAGAATATATAAATAATACTTATAATTCCACAATGAAAAGAAAAACTGCCCAATTGAAAAAAATGGGCCAAGGATTTAAGTAGGCATTTCTCTAAAAAAGATGTACAAATAACCAATAGAAACATGAAAAGATGTTCAACATGGGGCAGCCAGTTAGCTCAGGTGGTTAGAGCGCAGTGCTCATAACACCAAGCTTGCTGGTTCGATCCCCACATGGGCCACTGAGCTGCACCCTCCACAACTAGATTGAAACAGCTATTTGACCTGGAGCTGATGGGTCCTGGAAAACCATGCTGTTCCCCAATTAAAAAAAGAAAAAAATGCTCAGCATGATTAGCCAATTGGGATATGCAAATCAAAACCACAATGTGATATCACTTCACACGCACTAAGATGACTACAATGAAAAAGACAATAAGTGTTGAGCAGAATGTGGAGGAACTGGAACCCTCATTCACTGATCGTGGGAACATAAAATGGTACAGCTGTTCTGGAAGAAAGTTTGGGTTTCAGGCTGAAATCAAAAGCTGCACCATTCCTTTTTTTTTTTGTAAGAGTTATGAACTGGGAATCTCCTCAGCCATTGAAACCAACTGCCTTTACACCTGGATGACCATGAGATTGTCACATTCAGTAAAATGGGCCACCATCCCTGATATGCTAGCAACCAGAGATAGGTGGTGCTCCTCTCTTGAAAGGATTACTGTAAGAAGGTGCAATGGCCTATGGTTTTCTGCTGTATGGGAAGCCACAGGACAACGTGTTGGTTATGGGGCACAAGAGGGTCACGGGCAGGGCTATGAGCCCCCTGGAGTGTGAACTGACCTCGTCACAGGCTGCACAGCGTGGCTTGAGGCACTCGGCGTGATGCCTCCCGCAGTATATCTTCCCATCTTGGTAAAAATAGATCAAATCCACCAGGAGCTCGTTGCAGACAGTGCATATGAAGCAAGGCGGGTGCCAGCAAACGCCGTGGCCAGCACGCGATGCAAACACAGCGATGTCCCCACCATTAATCTGCCCTCCACACTGTGAGGCAAATAGAAACGTCAGTGTGAACACCGGCTCCCGTCTCTCAGTGCCACGCATCAGGGACAAACCACTACCCCCATCACATAGCTGGTTATTGAGCACTTTTTACCAACTAGTCCTGTGCTACCTGCTTTTACACATGTGCCCTTCCCATACTCTCCTTTCCTGGAGCCTACAAGTAAGTTCAAGATAAAGTAACTGAGAATACACGGGATCACAGAGGTGGGAAAGAAAGAAAAGCTCTTGCAGACAGGAGGCACACTTCACAGAGTGGTCTCATTATCTTTTAGATCCTCCAAACTCCATCCAGAGACACCAGAAGGAGTGGGCTGTGGGGGCTGGGAGGTGGGAAGGGGCTGGGAAGATGGTAAGGGAGTGGGTTCATAAACGTATATGCCTACCTTGAACTATTTCTCTAAAAGCCTTTCAGCCATGCTTTTAGCCTGCTTCCTCTAACATCTTTTTACACAGTCTTGATTAAAAAGCCACCACTTCTAAGACCAGACTCCAGAAAGGGCTTCTTCCCTCTCCCTTCCTTATTTTCCCACTCATGCTCCAAAGTTCCTTCCCCTATCGAGAAGGGCACAAGGCAGAATCCATGGTTACGGTGGGGGTTGGGTTAAATCAATATGGTCTGAGGGTCTTTGAGGGAGGAATAAAGTGTGAGGCAGTGGGTCCAGGGGAAGGCTCTCTGCTGACCACGGCATTGGTCATGAGGTTCACAGCCTGAGGGTCTAGTACTAAGGCCCCACAGGATGTCCATGGTATAGGGAAGGGCTGAGCTTTGGGAACAGTGTCCGAAGAGTAGAAAAGCTACTTCCAAACCTTCCCTATACCATGGACATCATATAGGATGAAATGCTTCAGAAATGAAGCAAAGATCTCATGGAGCAGTCCCTGGGAGCTCATTCATGTGAGTGAGCAGACAAAAGAAAGACATTATATTAGAAAAAGTACTACCCCTGCCTTTCATAGCATTAGCAGAAATGTACTATGCATACTGTTAAAAGATAAATTTTAAAACATTAAAATTTTCAAGAGTTTATTTGAGCAGATACTGATTCGAACTGGGCAGCACCAGACTGAAGGTGGTTGGGAGCACTCCACTGATGAGCTGGGGAGAGGTTCTTATAGGGAAGAAGGGGAAGCAAAGCAAGGAAGCTATTTGACTGGCTATAGCTTCAGTGGTTGCCTTATTTGGGAAAGCCTAGTTGGCTGTTTGCGATTGGTTATTATGTTTTGTTTTCTCAGATTCTAGTACATCAACTTTGGCTTAGGTTTTGGTTTGTAGGCTCCCAAGACATTAGAGCCACCTCAGTGTAATAATAGCCTTTTTATTTAATTACTGCAACAACACAGAATGCCATTTAACCCTCACCTTAGTTTATGACATAGACATTTGTTATTCCCATTTTGCAGATGACAAAACTGAGGAAAAGTAACATGGTCAAGGTCATTTGGGAAAAACATGAGCCAAACTTATGTCTTTCTGCCTTCATGCTCTTGTCACTATTCTGTACTACTTTTGACATCTGCCTAAGAAATACAGCCCAACTTCCTTTTTCCTTCGGTAAATCTAGCCGGGCTGGTTCCAGGAGTGGCAGAGGTTCTGAACGGAGCACACCGAATCTCCATCTAACCACCAACCACTTGCATCTTAAGGGTGGGTCTCAGGGATGAAGACCCCACTGTCAAATCTCTTTGACTCCCCTATTAAGTAGCATCTCCATGTCATTCACTTGAACCTTCTCACCCTATCCCTCTGAAATCTCAAAAAAAAAAAAATAAAGCCCCCAAATGGCATCCACTGCTCTAAGGTACCCTCTCACTTTCTCTTCACTGATCCAGCTAATTTATCTTCAGCACTTGAATGGGTCACTTAGAGCTGAAGGAGGTAGATGGGGCCGGACAAGCAGCAGCAGAGCTGAGAGGAGGGTGGAAAGTGATAATCAGCACTGGCAGGCTTTTGGCAGCTGAGAGGAGGGGCGAGGTGAACCCAGGCAGGCGGGACTCCCACCCTGCTTTCCTTAAGATGCTCCTCCACCCTGTCCTGAGCACTATACAGGAGAGTAGGAGAAAAATGAATCCAGACTAGTCAATTGAGTGAGGTGCTCGGGAGAATGCAGGGGGCTTCATGGACTCTGCTAAAGAGCCCTCAAGCTGAGGAGGCGATCGGTTACCGCCCCTTTAAGTGGCCCTGTCCTGGGATGAAGAGGCTGACCCAGGGTCCAGGCAAATTCCATCTTGTCATTCCTCTCCTCACATCCTTCCAGTGGCTTATATAACTTTCCAGGATCTGGCCTCTGCTAAGTCTTTTCTCTCACTCCTGCCCTGCCACACTGGCCAACTCACAGTTCCTGAAACACAATAGAAATAACTGCTCCTGCCTCAGGGGCTTTGAGCTGGCTGTTCCCTCCGCCCTCCCCTCACACCCAAGGTCTGCATCATTCGTGATTCACTCTCTCAGCTCTTGCCCGCCTTTGCTCAGAAGCCATCTTCTAAGTGGGGCTTTCCAGGTCACTTGACGAACACTTCAACCTCCCCAGCACTTCTATCCGTCTTCCCTGCTGTATTTTTTTCTGTATGTTATTTACTTATGTTATTGTCTGACTTTCCCCCCTAGAACGGAACTCCTTACGAGGGCAAAATCAAGCCTTTACATTTCTCTTCGATACTGCATCCCCCCGGCCCAGAATATAGCTTGGCACGAAGGAGACACTCAGAGACTAACTGTGGCGTGAATGACTGGGTGAAAGCGCCCCTCTTCACTTCTCAGCGTCCACGCTCACCTGTTCACAAATAGCTCCGGTCATTGTGACTGGGAAGGGCCTGACGTTCCCTCGGCCCAGGTTTTCACGTTTCCTCTGGTTGCTGAAGAGCTTCAGCTCCCTCTTTTCTTCCTCATCCAGGGAATTGCAGTATCGGACCTGAACACAGAGAATGGCGTGGAAGAGGTCACTGTCACTTTTAGGATTGCTGGAGCTCACGCCTTCGAGTTTTCTCGTTAAACACACTCCCGTTTGGTTTTACAGTCCTGGCCTGTACTTTACCACCACCAGGCTTGGGGCCATTTCAAATGAGTCTCTACCCAAGACTGCTGACAGACACAAGAGCTTACTAAATGCTCCAAAGTCTGGAGCCCAAGTCCTGGCAGGATCCAGGTTCTGCACCTCTTCCTCATCCTCACTGCCTCACTCTGCTCACCACGCCAAGATCCAGATCACCCAGGACAGCTAGGGGGCTAGGCGACTTCTGGGAATTTCTCCTCCTTTCGTATTGATTTGGGTCTTCAGACTGATTGGGGGGTTCCTGATACTTTCATGTCCATGTGCCAGTGTAAATGGTCCTGGACACCAATGGGTGGCTCCAGGCTCGGAAGCCAGAACCACCGTCAGTGTGCTCACAGCTTCTCTCCTCCCATCTTGTTTTTGGGAAAACGGGGAACCAAAGGCCTGAGTCTGGTTCAAAGGTATCAGTGTTGCTTCATGGGAGTGCCTGCATAATTATCTGCGTGCAGGTGGCAAAGAGCTGCCTGCTGGGCTTTGTTTAATGCATCAGCTTGCATGAGATACTTTCCTTCTTGTTAAACACAGAAACAGAATTAAGGGATGGACATTAATGAAATTCAAATCCAGTATTTACCATTCTCTCCCCTTACTCATGCACTCCTTGGGAATTTTGCCATAGATTTGAACGACTGTTTACTTAATACTGTTTTAAAACTGACTCACTTTTAAAAAAAAGTATACTGTAATTATAAATGAAAAAGCAGTATTACCTGCAAAAAACAGAAGGTGACCATAAAACTAAATAGAGTGAGAACAAAACCACATTGTTAGAGTCTAGCTGGCTACTTTTGCTTGTGGGAGACCCTAAAATGAAGATGCTTAATGCTACAACTTAAAAAGTGGAGACTAGTATGATTTGGAGAAGTGTGATATACCTACTAACACCAAACTCTAATTTCGCTCTTGAGTGTTCAACCACTCAATCACTACGAATGAAATACAATTTAAAAGAGAGTGATTCTTTCATTACAGGGTTCAATTTTATTTACTGCTATGTCCATGTGCCACCCAAAGTCATGTATTGGCCACACTTTGGGAAGCACGGTCCTAACACCACCTCTTGTTTTACTTTAGAGTAATCTGAGCATCAGAAAGGTTAACTGAGCTGCTCAGATGATTTGTAATCCAGATGGTTACAAGGAAACCTTTGAACTAGACTGCTGCATCCTAACTTGAAAACCAGTGCAGCTATAGATATCAAAATTGTCTCATGTGGGTGCAAAAGAGAATGAGGAAATATTTACTTTAGAATCACCCTTTATCCTTAAAAGGGCCACGCCAAATGGGCGAAACCTGCCCACTAGGTCACATGTAAGGGATTCTCACCAACAGGAAGAAGGATTTTTGAAAGGTCTCTCTTTCTGAAACCACAGTTAACCATAAACCATTAAAAGCAGAGAAGAGCAGATCACTTCCCTCGATCCAGTAAAAAGAGTTAACAAGAAAGGAAACCGCCTTCATGTGGATGCCCCGGGGAGAAGACAGCACTGACCTGAACAGCCCAGAATACATGGTTACACCACTGACATTTTATGGACATGCTTTTAAAGAAAGGCACACCCCTGCTGCTTGTCAAATCTGGCATTTTCACTTCCAAATTAGTTAACTGGGCATCAGGTTACAGTATTTGCTCTGGGCTTTAAAGAGAAAGCATCATTTATATATTTTTATGAAGTCTGAAATAAACAATAAGAAAGGGAATTGCGGCTCTCTTTCTAGGAGTTGCTTCAGTGTTTAAGCTTTTGTTCCACTTATTCAAACTTATTTTTGAGGTTCCTGATTTATCCTTTTTATTCAAATATGGGGAGGTAAAGACTAAAAAAAGCGCTCACTCATTTCCCCTGGGATCCAGCTTGTGGGTAGGGCAGTTGGTAGAAAGCTGGTGTTTAGTTTTCTAAAGGTGTCCCATCACCTTTCAATTTAAAATTATATTTTTGCTTAAAATGCAATCAGAGTTAAGTGGACAGTTCAAGTCTATGAGATTACTATTTTTAAGAACCAGATATTTAAAAGTTAATTTCTAGTTTACAAATCTAGCCCCCTCAAGCATGATGATCTTTTAAAAGCGTATTTACAAATTTCCCTTTACAACCAATCTGTCTTCAAAGAAATGCCTGCTTACTGTGCCCTGAGTCTGGGTTCAGAAGAAAGGGCAGCTTGCATGCCATGCTTTCAAGGGTATAAAGGATGACCTTCGCAAGTTGGACTTTAAATGACAAAAACACCGGTGTTCAGAGTTGCAAATCTGGACATGTAACTTCTACTACAGCATAACATGGAAAACATGCCATTCATTTACTATGAAATGATGCTGAAAATTCAAGAGAGTCACAAAGTTTTTGCAGCGTTTGAATTGTCCAAGGAATCTCAATCGTCTAACATGCTCAGGAAACTAGTGTCATACATTCTTCTTCAACTAAGAAAACCTGAACTTGAGCTTTTAAATTTTAGTGCTCCCTGGTTACCCCCAAATAGCAAGCAGTGCCAGGCACAGAGGTGAGTCCTCTGCATGGCATTCTGCTTTTCGGTAACACTCTCCAAAAGGCATCCAACAATTTCTTTTGGCTCTAATTGAGGAAGCTAAAACCTAAAATAAATTGCCAGAGTTTTCCTTTGGAGATCTCAGTGATCACTGCATTTTAATTGTGCAAAAGGTAACAATTCACAGGAGGTTCTAGGAAAAGTCGTCCTATGGTCCCTCTAGCCCTTACCTCATTGTCATGCGGTGGCAGCTGGTGTAATAGCTGCTTGATTCTCAGTTTTTCTCCCGGGCTGTTGACATAAGGAACTTTCTCTTCTGGGAGACAGCTATAGTATTGGTGAACCTGAAAGATGAAAAGCACGAAGGTAACTTGCCCATTCCCATTTCTGGGAGAAAAACTCCCGAAGCAGGACACAACCCACTTCTCACTGTCCCCACCAAGCATGGAACTCAAGAGCATGAGTTTCTCACTGCAAGCAGAGAAATCCATCCTTAAAGAAAGTGTCGAGCAAATCACTCATATCTTGGGGGTATTCCCTCTCTCTGCAAGGGAAAAATAAAGCCAGCCGACTTTCCTAGAAAAAGAGAAATTGGCAAACATGCGGGTGGACCCGGAGGGGTAGGGCTTTCTCCGCAGGCTCCCCCGAGAGCTGACTTTACCATTTTCTCTGCTCGTCTCCAGTATGTAACACGCCTTCTGAGCCAAAGGGATATGTCAGTGCCTGCCTTGGCGTCACCGGAGTCAAAGCCAGTTTTTGGCACCGAGCGAACTCCTGGGTCCCTCAGCCTCCACATTAAAAGCCCTCCAGGTTTTTGGCCCTTTCTAAGGACAGGCAGTAGCTCACATCTGTCAGAAAAAGAGTCGCTAAATCTGGGCTACAGAGCGTGTCATCAAAAATCGTCATTAATAAGAGTATTTCTGTATGTACTAGAATACTCCTGTTTACGACTGTTAGGATAGATTCTTGCACTTTCTAAGGCTCATTCAACCTTAACAACCAACTTCAGAAAGCTCCAACTATCTAATTTTGCCTGAGAAAAGAAAACACCATTCTACCATCCAACTGCATACAAAACGAGGGAAGAAAAACCTGACCAAAACAGAAGGTATGCTATTATACAGGAAAGTCAAAAAACAAAACAAAACCAAAACCACAAGATCAGATGACATCATGGAAAATACTTTTCTACTATCTCTGAGAAGCATCATGACCAGCTCTTGCGAAACAAGACATTCATTCAATAAAACAGAGACGAAAGACTTAGGGCTCTGAATTCATCCTACTCCTTGCACTCTACAAACAGGGTCTAATTCCTTCAGAGTTTAGGGAGCCTTGCATACGCACACATGTTTTGGGTATGCTGAGGTAAAGTTACAAAAGCTCTGTCTACTTTGATCTCCAGAAACTAAGTCATAACTGTTGGGGGAGGAGGGGGGAAGCTTTGCAATGATAAGGCCTTAAAAAATGTGAAAGCCATCTTTATTTTCATAACAAATTATCATAACCATTTACCACCATGTTCCTATCATCCTCTTAACCAAATCCCAAAGGCAACTGTAAACAGACTTCTTGTCCTAGACTAGCTGTCTTTTGGAGGGCAGGGCCTCTGCAATTGCTCCCTAGAGGCACCTGGCAGGGAGCCCCGTCCTGGGATGGGAAGGGAGGAAGGAACGGCTCCAGGTTTTGAGGGCCGCCCACAGGTTACCAGCCCTCTCCCAGAGAAGAAATACAAGCCCAGATCATGAGTTAGTTTGGGATTAGATGTTGGCGATGAGCCCATCAGAGACCAGCACACCATTTTGTACTCAGGAGAATCTGTGTACTATTTGCCTCCTCAGGGAAGCGCCAGGTATAAAGAAGCAGGCTCCGTGTCTGTGTCTTGGGGAACGGGCTTTGCCTCCCGAGTCAAAGAACTGCTGGAACAAAGGCCTTGTTGCAAACATTTTCACAAGTCCCACTATCAATATAGAACATTAGGGACAAATGCTAATCTGAAATGAATGACTGTGGATGCCTGCTAATAAACAGTCTAATCTGAGCTTGCCTGGCCCTCCTCTCAATCTCCTGTCCTTGCTCACACAGCCCTCTCTTCACTGCCCAGACCAGGTTATCCCTGGGAGCCCTTCTGACTAGTGCGTTGAGCCCTGCCCTCTGATACTGTCCATGGCTGACCCAGGTTGGAACCTTCCCTGCTCCCCGCGGCATGGCGGGGAGATGTGCAGCCCTAGTCCTGGCCCTGCCATGTCCCATCTCTGTGTTCCTCAGCACGTTACATGAACTGCTCAGAATCCTCATCAGAAGATCGTGGCCATTAAATGAGCATGTAGGCAAAGCATTTGCCTTTCAATAGCAATAAATAACATGACTGGATAGCAACACGTATATTATCCAGCTTGGTGTACCCCAAATGGGACAATCCAGGTGCTTTCTCCCATTGCAAAATGTAGGTCAACACTGGCAGCTTACAGAGTGAGACCAAACCCCAGGAGCCACCTCCCATCTTAGTCTAAGCAAGAAGGCTGCAAGGAATAAAATGCTATTTAAGCCAGTTTTATTTCAGAGAAAAAAATGGCAAAATATTAAAAACGTGTGGTGTTGTCTCAAGAAACCCAGCAGCATAGTAGGGTCTCATGAGGAAATGGAACCCGCCACTGGAAGGTGGTTGGTAAGCGATACTCATCCACCTAAGCCCAGCGTCCCCCTCTCTCTGCTCTCTGCTCTATTCTCTCTCTGCAGATCTGTTTCTTACCTTCTCAAAGCTTCAGGTTTCCCACAGCACTTGAGTTTACACAACCTTGGTTCCTAGACTGATGAGCTTTGCTCAATTCCAAATTCCCCAGAGAAGGACCCTGATTGCCCAGGTCCCCACCTGGAGATTAGATTAAAGAAGTTGCACATTATTTTAAGACTGGAAGATAAAGGAGTCCCAAACTTGACTCTAGAGATATTTAGGAGATAAATAAATATCTTGGTATGCTGAGGACTCTGGATTCTTAAGTCAACAGAGGCAGTGGCTACTCTTTGGGAACATAGTTCCAGCCTTCCTGGCTGGACATCTTGCGTTGCCTTTTCTAATTCAAGCCAATTGATCACCACCACTGAAAATGTATCCTTTCTACCTGTATTCCAATAATTCCTCAAATATAGAATGGGCTAAAATATTTCCTCACAAGGTAGCTAATAATTTGGTAGATGACTTAAAAAGTTACCTAGTTAATGAGATGCCATTATTAAAACAAATCAGCTAATTAACACCTACCAAACCACCCCCACGTTGTGCGGTATAGATGATCTGCCTTGCTCTGAGGAAAGTGAATGAGTTGGTCCTTACCACTTCCAGTCCTCCTCCAACCGGTTCAAGTTCAGGAGAAAAAGTCATTTCTCTCATGTTGGCTTCTGTGAGTTCACCTGGTATTTAGGATCTGGACTTTCCAAGCTCTTTATCAAGCAAAGGGGATTAGAAGATGGATGGGAATGAAGGAGAAACCACTCTCTTGAATTCCCAATCTGTCTCTGGCTGAACACGGCAATGCTTCATGCTTTATCCTCTGACATCCTCCATAATAAAACAACCGTACAGCCCAAAACAAACACCAGCGGAAATATTCAATGTACTTTGTGGCATTCCAAAAATTAAGTTGGGCACCACCACTGCAAACACTGAAGATTGCTCATTTTAGCCCAAACATGTTTCACTTACTCATTTTTACAAGTAAATAAGCAAATCCAATAGAATTTTGTCAATGATGATCATTACCAAGCTATTACCTGGTATTTTCTTTTTAAAATCTGCATGTCTATTTTATTTCCATTAGAAAAATAATAGCTACATAAAATTTTGGTCCACTTTTTTCTCCTTTACCTCCATCATTCAAACTTAAATCTTTAATTTTACTCCAGTAAAAGCAGAAGCATACATGTGACAAGAGAACTAAATATTTCACACCATTAAATTAAGTGGATTTAACTGAATTAGCTGTACTCTTTGTTATTTCTCAGGAATAGTAACTCATCTTTCCTGCGCCTTACTTCCCTTTACTTTTATTTATTTGAGTCACTATGCAATGCAATGCATGGCTCTTTTCTCACACCCAGGAATATGAGTGTGCATAAGTGTACTTTATAACATCAGTAACTGGATTCATCATCTCATCTTTAATTCACGTTGAATCCCCCTTATTATGTGGTATTTCCATAATACTTCAGATATTTTAGCCAGTCTAACTTCCCCACATCAATTATAAAAATTAAGATGTTCATTTAAAAACACCATTACTATCCAGATAAATAACACCAGGCCCACTTAGAGCAATGCTGTTGTGAGAAGGCCTCAGACAGTTACTGCTTCAATCTCAACACGGCTTCCTTCGGGCAAAGCAGCAAGCTGGTAAGCTGCTTTCGCAGAAAAATTACTCTTGCAATAATACTGTTTGTGGATTTCATTGACAGTATCGAAATCAGTTATGTCAGTCAGCAAAATAGCTGTTTTACCACATTAGTGAAGTCACAGCCTGCAGCTTCCAGAATTTCACCCGTGTTTGTAAGAGCTTGTTTAACTCTTCTGCCATCCCCCCGCCCCGGCACAAGCTGTCCACTGGAAATGTCCATGCCTAGCTGCCCGGAAATGTACATAGTCCTGTTGACCAGCACAGCTTGACTGTAGGGACCAGTGGGCCCTGGGGCTTCCGCAGAGCTGACCACCTTTCTGATCAAGGATGACGGAGCTGACCCTTTGCCTTTGAGGTCCCCCTGAGAGAACAACCCTGTATGCTATCCCTGCTCATGTTTCACTGGACTCCATTCCCTGGTATGTTGATCACTTTATTTTTCCTCTTGAGTTTACTGAGCGTATGTCTCCAAAAGCAGGTCTGTAGAATGTACTAGAAACGTTGCTCCCTTTAAACATTCCCAGGTAGAAGTGCCCTGGGATTCTGTCCTGGATGAAGCTGTCCTAGGTACATTTCCCGCGAACAAAAGCATTTGGAACATCATAAACTGGCTTATGAGAACGAAGCAGCTGAAGGCCTTTATTTAAGGTGTTACTCCCAGAGGGTAGGCTTGGCAATAACTTCAGTCTGCGTCAGCCGGCTTGCCAGAGCTTCAGTCAGTGCGCAAATACAGTCTGCAGAGCAAGGGCTCGCCAGTTTCAAAGACTGGGCTTGTTGGAAGGAACTTCGCTTTTGACGGCATTTCTGCCTGCAGGCAGATAGAAGACAGAGTCAATGACCCCTCATTGGAGAGAAAAGTGTGCTAATTTAAAAAAGTGGGCACAGTGCGCTATTTTGAGTGGTGGCTCTCAAACTTTAGCTTGCACCAGAACCACCTGGAAGGTTTGTTAAAA